CGCCAATGGCACGCCACTGAGCTCGGTACTCAGCTCTACGCATCCAACCACTACCAGCCACTTTACATATATCGTCTCTCCACCTTGTCCTGTGTTGAGCTGGACAGACATGTTATTGTCTGTGTGTATAGGCCACCTAACTATCAGAATCTTACAGTATTTGATTCTGTCATGGAGGATGTTTTAAGAAAGGTTTGTTCTAGTCACAAATCAGTAATTATATGTGGTGATTTTAATATTAATTTATTAGAAAATAGTACTAGTAGTATGGAATTGTTAAATTTATTTGGATCATTTAATTTAAAAGATGTTTTTTTAGAACCAACAAGGATAACATCCTCTACCGCCACCTGTATTGATAATGTTTTCTGTAATTGTGACTACAAAGAAAAACATATTATAAATAGCTTGCCATCCGACCACTGTGGACTAATGGTTGCGTATAGCTCTTATTTACCTATCCTAAAAATTCAAATAAGATATAGACAAATCACGTTTAAAAATCTGGAGAAATTGAGCAATTCTTTAGCTACTAAATTATGTATGAAAGTATTTGATACTAGTAATCTGAATAAATTCTACAATGATTTCTTTGAGATGTTAAACAAGGAATTTAACAATATTTTGCCAATAAAAAATAAAGATATTCATACCAAATTTGTATTTAGCGACTGGGCAACTGTAGGTATTCGTAAGAGTAGGGACAGACTTTTTGAACTTTATGGAATGAAACCGTACAAAAATGACCCCCAATTTCACCAGTATGTAACATCTTATTCAAAAACCTTTAGAATAGTATGCAGAGTCGCGAAACGTCTTTATATTAGTAATAAAATAAAATCGTCTGATGATAAGATAAAAACTACTTGGAAAGTTATACACAACGAGACCGGTAGGAAAAGATTAAGAAACTCAGAATTTAATTTAAATACCGAAAGGGGACAGATTACATCAAACGTAGATGTAGCCCAGGAGTTTGAAAATTTTTTTACTAGTATTCCTATTAAAACAACTGAACATTTAAAGTCATCAGCAAACCTCTCTGTAACTTTGCTTAAGAACAACATAGAATCATGTCAATACGACTTTAGTTTTCGATATACGAATCCTCTAGAAATTATAAAAGTTTTTAAAGAAATCAAGACTAAATCAACGGAGGATCTTTGGGGCTTATCGGTAATGGTTTGCAAGTCACTTATCCAAACTGTAGCGCCATATCTGGCTGTGATTTTCAATAAATGTATAGATGACGGTGTTTTCCCTGACCTAATGAAATATAGTAAGGTTATCCCACTATTTAAAAGTGGTGACACTAAAGAACCTAACAACTATAGGCCAGTGTCTGTTTTACCGGTTCTCAGCAAAGTCTTTGAAAAGTTGATGCTGTCTCGGATGCTTCATCATTTTAATAAACATTCCATCTTTCACCAACAACAATACGGTTTCACTAAAGGTCGTTGCACAACTGACGCCGGTGTCACTTTGATTAAGGAAATATTTGGTGCTTGGGAGGAAGCACAGGATGCTATTGGTGTATTTTGTGACCTCTCAAAAGCATTTGATTGCGTTGACCACGAAACACTTTTGCTGAAATTAGATCATTACGGGATAAGAAACTCTGCGCTCCGTCTTATGAAATCTTATTTAGAAGAAAGACAGTTAAAGGTTCATGTTAACGGTATTAACTCACAGGGCTCTGGGATGAATATGGGCGTTCCTCAAGGTTCAATATTGGGTCCCTTTCTCTTTTTAGTCTATATAAATGATTTGCCATTTATATTTAAAAATGAACCAAGAATGGTGCTTTTTGCAGATGATACATCATTAATTTTTAAAGTAGATCGACGTACAAATAATCTTGACGACGTAAACAGCTCCATTCTTCAAGTGCATAATTGGTTTACCATTAATAATCTAGCACTTAATGAAAAAAAAACAAAATGTATTAAATTCAGTTTACCAAACGTGCGTAGTAACGATTGTGATATTGTTTTGAACGGTCAAAAGTTAGAATTTGTCGACGAGACAGTATTTTTAGGCATTACGTTAGACAATAGGCTACAATGGGGTCCGCATATAAAGGCGCTTTCGGGGAGATTGAGCTCAGCTGCTTTTGCAGTTAGACAGATTAGACAGCTCACGGACGTGGATACAGCTAGGCTTGTCTATTTTAGTTATTTCCACAGCATTATGTCGTACGGCATTTTGTTGTGGGGTCGAGCTGCAGAAATAGAATCAATATTTATTCTGCAAAAGCGGGCTATCCGAGCAATATATAACTTACGCCGTTGCGAATCGTTGAGAGAATTGTTTAAAACGATAAATATTTTAACGGTGCCCTGTCAATATATATATGAAAATATAATGTATGTAAGGAAAAATAGGCAATTGTTTGAAAAAAGAAGCGATAGACACAATTTTAATACTAGAGGCAAAAATAAGTTAGCTATACCGCAATTCAGACTGTCCAAAGTACAGAAATCCTTTATGGGGTTAGGTATTAAATGCTATAATAAAATACCAAATAGCATACTAGATCTCAATGAAAGTAAATTTAAAACATATATTAAGCGCGAATTATGTAATCAAGCTTACTACACACTGACAGATTATCTTGAAGATAAGAATGCTTGGCAGCATGTTGGTTCGGCTCCACTGGACAATACTCAAATGTAGTCAGTAGTTAAATTCCAATAGTAGGTAATATAATACATAATTTAATACTTTAATTCTAATGTAGACAATCTAGTTTCCTTATGGCATCGAGCATTTCTTTCTTTATTGAAACAAAGAGTTTCCTTTTTCTTGTATAGAAGCACTATTTCTATGGATTGTCAGTATGCATATGTGAGCACCATGTTGGACTTAAGATCTTTATTATTTTTATTTTTATTTTAGTAAGTTAGTAGTATAATGCGCCAAGCGTGTCTTTGCATTGTTCTTACATATGCGTACAGTATTGAAATATGTATCAGAGACATTGTAGAACATACTTTTTTAAAAGAGTAACGAATGGAGTTTCTTGCTCGTTCTTCTCCATTCGAATCTACGTTTTGGAATGAGCACCTAGCTTCACCTAGCTTCACTGACGGACTGACTGACAGACTATTATTTATTTTGTATTTGTTGACGTTTCAAAAGTACCAAACTATGGTTTAATTGAAATAAATGCTTTGACTTTGACCTAGCAGGAGGGCGCCCTACCCTACGTTTGCCTCGTAGTAATAATATTATTGTGGACTAATCAAGATAGAAAATGATCACTTAGGAGGACCAGAACTAAATAAAGTGGCACAATACATATTAAACCTAACACAAATTGCATCTTTAAACCAACTTAATTAAAATACAATAAACATTTCAATTCTGGGATTAGGTGACCTGGAAATATGCTGGTCAGCCACATTGAGAGCTGGGCAGAGTGTACAATATTAATAGTTAGGCTGACTGTCAATGTGTGGGCAAATAAAAGCTATACTGATCCATTAATGATCCCTCGTATTATGGACATGGATCGTACATAATCCATGTTAAGTCCTATTTATTATATTGATACAATGTTCTGGATTAATTACTCTATCGTTTTGTGTATGAAAGATAATTACACTAATTATAGAAGTAGATAGCCCATTGTTTCCTATGTATCTAAGTAATTTACTTACTGTTCTCGACTAGTAAATGGGTAAGTCTCCACTACATATCTAACTGCGAACTAGGCAGATCTGTTTGTTTGTCCTTCTCGGAAGATTGTAAGGAGGCTGGAGAATGATAAAAGGGACTTTTTGAAAAGTACTTTGACCTGTTTGACCATACGCACGGAACTGTGGACGGGAAGTTTCTAAAATGTAGGTAATATAGGTAATCGTAATTATTGGTCCTTTTTACACCCCTTAGAAATATTTGAGGAGATGCATAAAATTGTACGAGACGTTATTCCTAACAGAATATAAGATTATAAAAGTAACTATCAAATTTATACTAAGTATCTACCAAATTAGACCAATTAAACTGGCAATCAAAATTGGACTTAATCACAACTAGCACAGTTACTAAAATCGAATACAAATGACTAATTAGGTAGTTCATTATTGAAATATCTCTCACACTAGTGAACTAAAAAGATCTTTAATATGATAGACGTAAGGTCAAAGTCCACAGTTGATTGTTGTAAAGCTATTGTTTTAAACAATGAGTAATATAACTCCGGCTGTGTCCATAACTTGCAAGTTACTGTGTGACGTCACTAGCGTACTGACGAAAATGTTTGTTCATTTATTTTTATGTTTGTTTATGGTAGTTTAATTACTGTAGTAATGTTTATACTTAGTTTTTCTCCTTGTTGTTTTCAATTAACTTGCTGTATTGTAAAAAATGTCGTGGTTACCCGGAGGCTTAAAACGCCCGCTGCTTATGCATGAGAGTGTGGGTTCGAAACCTACCAAAGGCAAGTCCTAATGTGACTTTTACGATGTTGTATGTACTTTGTATAATTATGTAGACACTACAGACAAAACGGTGAAGGAAAACATCGTGAGAAAACCTGAGCATACAATTTCTAATTATGAGTTCGAAATCGCCAACCCGCTTTAAGCAAGCGTGGTGATTAATGCTCAAACCTTCTCCGTGTGAGAAGAGGCCTTTGGTCAGCAGTGGCCGCTTCAAGGTTGTTGATAATGAGCTGTATGGTGGTCTGATTTGAATTTGTTTATTTTCCTGCTATACCTAAGTATTTAATTTTATTGTCTTAGTGAACATCGATATTTGGGTAAGTAAGAGTATAATTAACATCATTTACGCATGTCCACATTACAGGTTCAGGTTCCAATCTAGTTAAATAAAAAGAAATCTAGCCTTTAGAACTAGTAAACGTGTAGCTAAAATACTAATACGCATCTTGGTCTTACTTATACAGTTAAACCCTTTCTTTTGTCTGTAAACATTTCAATTATACATCACACGAATAGTTATTCCAGATTCTATATGACTTTGACAAGCCTTACCTTGTATGGCGCCAGCCCAGCAGAGCCAGAACAGCGCCCACTTGGCAGTCCTAAACCGCTGCAGCCACGAGGGTCGGAACATGCCCCACCCGCACTTGAGGGAGTGCTCCTCATCATGAGCTGTTTGCTTCGGAGACACATGTTCAGCTTCTGTTGAGGCCTGAGGGGAAATAAATGCGGTAGTTGTTATTTTGAACTTGAGTGTATATTCAGACTGCATTCGTTGCTTTCCATATTTTTTAAATCTATTGGACGATATAGACAACGTTCAGAAAGTTGAGGATTGCTTTATTAAAGATTTTATTTAGAATTTTCTTTATCAAATCGTACGATGCACAGAAATAGTGAACCAAATATCAAAATACACTTTGGAATACACTCCTATACTACTTCTGTACTGTCGCGGAGAACCTAACGGGTTACCGGGGCTCCGGCTCGACGTGCAGGAGAATGAACGCGGTGGTTTTTAGTCAGTGAGAGTCTGACACTCCCTCCCGCCTTACCCAGGTGGGAGCAGTCAGTTGATGATTTTCCCCCTTAAAAAAATACTTCTGTACTATCCTATGGCTATCGTGCCCAACCTCTTTCTTTCTATATAATTATACCAAAGGATACCTAATTTCTATTTGCCTACCAAGAAGGAAATTAAATAATTTATAAACTAGCAATAACTCAAGTAGCAATCAAAACAAAAGATTTGTGGCGGTGGGCGTTTCCGACTTAAGGGATTGGAATCATGTGAGTTATACTGTCTCAATACAAGTGATTTATTTGATAGCTCCTTTAAATAATTGTATTAGATAGTGCAACAGTACTTTAGATTATTTTATATCTCAAGGGTCAATTGAAGTAATGTTACCTATTATTGATAGTAATCTTAAGGATGTGTACAATATTAGAATAGTTATGTCTATTTAGGACTTGAACAGTTAAAGTTACATTTAAAACAAATACAATACGTATATTGGCATAGGTAGACCTCGCATCGGAGAGATGACATTGTCGAAATCGTGAGCAACAGATAAATCCAAGCGAGGCGGATTACCGTTCGGCGTGACGAACTAAAGGAGACGCCTCTAGGCAGCTGTGTAAGGTGACAATGATGACGATGGTTATTATTTACTGAAGGGCCTTAAATAAAGATGCACAGATCTACTTAAACAACTACTGTTCAGTAACTGTGCATTGAAAATTGGAAAGAAAATTCTCCGCTAATATTTCAATTGCAGAAAACTGTCCGTGAGTTTCACGAAAACAGAAAATTCTTTACCTTAGAAAATATAATTTTTCTTTTGCAGTTTTTGTTTATATGATGTATTAAATAATGTTGGCCTTTATAGCCTTTAAGTAATTGACTGCAGTACGTCATAAAGTATTGCAGTAAAAGTGAACTAGGACATTGTACAATCGTGTCTATGCCTAGCACTTAACACGAACCTGTGACCTGAATACTGCAATACCGTGTATTCATCGGACCTGTTATTAATTAGCTGCTGTTCAGTTTGAAGAATACAATTTATGATGTCGGTGGAAGTATTGTAAACAGAGATATTCCCGATAGCTGTAGGTACATGACTTTGTGAGTGCAGAAAAAATGTGTTGTTAGATTTGAGCGAAGTATATTCATATATTGGTTTATATGAGTCTGATGTGAACGGCATATATGAAGAAGAGGAAGATTTTAAATATAATTACAAAGGTCCACATTCGCAATTTATTAGGTACGCAGAATATTGGCAGGCAAAACTTTGAGGACCTTTCATGGGCGCATAGAGTGAGGAATCTAGGCGCCCACCTAATGACCTCAAGGACGACGGCGGCACAGTGGTTAGGTGCCACCATGCACTGCACAGAGAGGCTCCAGGTAGACACATAGGTCTACATAGGGAGGTACCGTAACAGGCGTTGCACCGTGGGGGCTCCGGGGTGGGTCTACTAAGAGGACTCGGTGCCTCCTTTGGGTGCGGATGGTGGCCACAGGGGAGGTTTTAGTGAGGTAAAAATACCACACTCCCTAGACTTTTATTCCGCAAAAAGTCGCTAGTCGTCTTTGGAAGGTCTCCCCCCGTCAACAAAAAATAAGGTACGCAGAATATAGACTCGTATTACGTGGTTCATAATAATCAAAGTGATTCGTGGAAAAATACACCTGCTTGATATTTCTGTTATTACAGGATGAGTTTAAATGTTTACGTAACTAAATAGGTATAGTATGTATATCTAAATGCGCATCTGCGGATATTTGGTAAACACTTCACAACTATAAGCTTATCGCCGACGATTACTGATAAGTGCAGCATTAGGAAATAGACAAATAGCCTTAAATAAGCACTTATTGTTTCCATTAGTCCTTATCCGACTTCGAGAGGCTATTTTTTCAACTTCCTATTACTGTGATATGGTTTTGTACAATTTCTGTTTATTGATTGCCCTCATATCGGTTGGTTCATCGAAAGTTCTTATAAGTAATTTTGCTGAAGCGAAGTGTAGTCGACGATGAAGCTTTTGCAATAGTAAAGAAGAATTCCTTGTAGGGTCCTTCTCTTCTCATACAAGAGCATGATATTAATTAAAAAATAATCTGCCAAGTTTTAACTATGATACATAAGTTCTTGTTACAATCAAGTTTATGGTGACATTATCCAATATTCCTCGTAGGAAAAAGAGTTTAATCGACTGAACTTCACCCGACCTAAATCGAACGGAAATTCATTCCACAGAGAATAAAGATTGTGGGCATCTCGGTAGTCTATAGGCTTGTGTCTTATCATCTAATTCTAACTTTATCTAAAGATAGAGAAGCTAGAATCTCTTAGTAACATTAAGCTATGATCCGTAGTGAAAGGGGTAAAACTGCAAGCCTCGGAAATGGTCTACGACCTATGGCATAATATGTATCGCATAATGTCCCATCGATCGCTCGACCTCATGGTGTTGTTCTACAAATAACTGCAATGTTCTGATACGTAATTGTTGTGCTGCTGTTTATTTTACTCAAGAGCCTTTACTTAATCGATCGTGTAAACTTTTGACTGAAATGTTTATTTTTTCTCTGTACTTATTCCAGGTTGGTTTTGTATGCTTTTTTCTTTCCTGTTTTAGCTTACCTATAGGTATCAAGTCATCAATGATTAACGTCACTTTTGTACATACTCACAACACCCATTTTTTTGTTCCGTAAGAAAATGTCTATCGCAAATTAAGACTCACTACGTTTTTTAATGTCTAGCAATGACCCCTACCAAGTTCAAGTGTTATTAAAATAAAAATAACTAAAATACAAAGACGAAACGGGACGCAGTGGGTGTATCCGTCTTATGGAAGTGAGTCCACTGTTTGAATCATACCTCCTGACTCCTGATTCCTAACGTAACGAGTGATTTATTAAATTAGATCATTTTGCTGAACTTCATTGCTATGCGATGACTCTTAGTAAGTACCTAGCCATTAATGCTTATAATTTGTTGACAAAAATATATTTTAACGTCCAATCCGATTAGTTAAAGTTTGAGTGTATCGGTAATTTATTGAAAAAATATTAAAATTACTAACATTATTCAAGATTATATCTCTAAACATCGGTCAATAAACTTACTAAACGTTGAATAACACCGTAGAAGTACCAACACAATTCCAGCATAAAGTCGAATCTACATATTTCTGAGCGAAATCTCTTTACCCTATTAAACATCACGTGTGTCCCATGAATGGCCTATAAACGGGTCCATACAAGCAACACAATGGGGCTTGTAGACCAACAATATGTCACAACAGCTTGTATCCTGTACTTTGTACTCGAGTACTTAATACCTACGAGAGAGCTCTTCTGACTGTATTGGCAGAAGAATGAGCTCCAATTGAATGTGTATCGTTTGCTCTTAATGCGGAAGTCTGATGAGTATATTGTTGGTGAATCAGTGGTGAACTGGTGATGGGAGTTGACAGGAGATGAATTGGAATAGTCCTTTTGTACGGATCTATTGCCAAGTCCATTGCAACTTGACTCTTTAAGATCTGGCCGAGTCCATTGTGAGGCTATTTGAGATCATCACTGTGGAATTCCTATAGCTAAGTCTGTTCGATTTCTCTCCAAAGTTGGATAATAAAACACCTTTGTCTATATGTAATGGAATTTATCGTCATGTATGTTTTGTTCTACAAATCTGAAGCTTACAATTAACAGACAATAAAGTATCACCTATTTTCATGTCAGGTTGACAGCGAAATTACACCATGGACTTCCACACTAGGTCGTTAGCTTTTCAAGGTCGGGAGTTCGAAACACCCTAGATTAGGTAGGTGCCATACAAGACCCATAGGCTAATTTAGTTTTAAGTGGTTGGTTAGAAGTTACCTAAGATTTTCGATAAGGAATTTAGTTTGTACTTTTCAGTTGAATTTTATGTAAAACTAATAAATAGGTTGGTAATTGCGTGATGTTTTTTATCTGTCTTGAATAAATAAGTTAGGCTAGTCACCTTAACTTTTAAAATACATATTTATGAGATATGTTCATAACTGTTCCATTAAAAGACTTGGGTGACTTGTATTGTAGGATTGTAATAGGCATAACAATTATTGATGTTTTTAGACGGCTAGACATAAAGTCACGATAAAGATCATAATGGCCACTTTTTACTCAATAACATAAAAGCAAAAACCTTTGTTTTACGATAAAAAAATTGGCATTAATTTTAACAGAAGATGAAAATCAAAGAAATCTTTTCTTTATATTAATTTAGAAAACTTAGTAAGAATGGCAGTATTTCCTAATACGATAGGTACAGGGTTGATTGACTCTGTCGGAAACATGAACAAAGTCTGCACTTGCGTTTCACGCTGTATTAAAGTAAGGTAATCCTTCATAATTACTGTATTTATGATTTTGTGATAGATAACGCAATCATTTAAGTTTTGCACGTTTTAATTACGTTTCAGTTTCATTTCAGTAACATACGTGTACCTACGTACATAGCCGACGTGCTCCACCGTAGGCCGCATCAACGCTTACCACCAGGCGAGGTAGTGGCCAAACGTCGGCCCATTTTATACTATATTATATAAAGCCGAAGAGTTTGTTCTTTTGTTTGTTTGTTTGAACGCGCTAATCTCCGTAACTACAAGTCTCATTTGAATAATTCTATTTGTGTTGGATAGCGCATTTATCGAGGATGGTTATCTATATATATAAAAGAAAGTCGTGTTAGTTACACTATTTATAACTCAAGAACGGCTATATCGATTTGGATGAAAATTGGTGAGGAGGTAGCTTAGAACCAGGAGACGGACATAGGATGCTTTTTATATATTTTTTTAATTTGTATCTAATATCACGAACGGGAACGGGAAAAAACGAGATTGCGCGTACGAAGTCGCGGGCAGAAGCTAGTAGGCTATAAAACATCACGCTACGACCAATAAGACCTAAGCAGAGCGTGTAAAACCGCGCGGAAGTAGCTAATTAAATATAAAAAACAATATTAAAAAAGCCATAGTTTCAGAGAGACACAAAAAAAACTGTTTTTTTTCTGGTTTTTTATAACAATTGCAGACATATGACAGTATTTTACTAGGTCCTAAACTCCTAGATAGTTATTTATAGGATTAAAACAAAAAAAAGTTAAAAATTTTGCAACGTTTTTCACTTTATTGTTATTAGTTCTTTACTTTACTTATGTTGTATATCTATTGTCATATGTTTGACTGGTAACTGTCTATCATATCATAATATATCTTACATTTTATATTATCATAAACGGTAAGTAAATAGGAAAATGTCATGTTATTTATTAATGAGTAAGAAACCTCAAGGTTGAGGGCATAGGTTCACACGTAAACTGTTGTAGGCATGAAAGTATTGCGTGCGTGAAATCTTCACATGTCATGACAACAATAATAAGTAATACGACATTTTGTTTTATTGATGACGATAGTTGTAAAAAAAATTATAGCCGGTCTTTTTTGTATTCAAAGTCGAGGTTGATGTTGTTTGGGGTTAAGAGACGGAAGAATTTTGTGTTGCTAGAAATAGATAGTGTTTAATTTTGAACTCCTTGTCTACCTTGAAAATGTTAATAAGAAATTCTTATTTCATTTAAAAAATATTTCTTATGGTAAAAATAATCAAATATTTTTCAGTTAACAACTTTCAAAATTTATTTTTGTTTAATGCTTAGGTACCTAATTTACCGATGTTTTTTATTTGAAAAAGTAATTAAAAAGAAAATAATTTACCATTATTAAAAAATCAACCGCCTTGCACCTACACTTCTAACTTCAAAACCATTCCGTTTTCAAATTCAAACTTGGAACGCGTAATGTTTCGTAAAAGTTTGGTTCGGTGGCGGAGCGGCCCGAGCGACACGCGACTATGGGCGGGCGGGACGACCCCACGCGAGAAACTGAGGGCTACACCGGCAAACCACCGGTTATAAACAGGGACCATAGTATATGCACGATATTACGATAAATACAGGAAGTTATGACGACTAAAATTATTTAATCGCTTTGTGTTGATAGTATTGCACAAATTTTACATTGTTGATACTTTAGAGATAGATAGATCTAAAATTGCATTGGATGTTATTTAGTTTGTTGTTAAATCACTCTCAAGATTTGTTAAAAGCCTCTTAAACCCTGGTTGGGTACAAGGATTTAAGAGTTATTGATACCTAACTTATTAATTTCGTTACTGAAGAATTCAGGATTCATTAAGATTTAATGCATGATCATTTTAACTAAACAAAAGTGAACTAGACATACCTCTACATGTTGAAATATATGTAAGTAGATTTTTAAAAAATGTTTCAACTTTAGCCGTCTAATGATTTAAACCCATCTCTTTTAATATGGAACGGAAGTATAGACTAACGAATTAATTTAGCCTCCTTGAGTAACAGTCGAGAGCACTCTAGTTTTTAATCTGTACTCCGCCGTAGTACTGCGCACGTGCGAACTTGACGTGACTTTAATTTGAATTTGGAACATAATGAAATTCGCGCCATATTTATGGCTTTCGGAGGGAAATCGAGAATGGAAGGCGAGAGGTACTTAGTTTTCTACTCGTTTTAAAGTACTTTCAGAATTTTAATATTCTTAGAAGATTCTCATTTTTATGGTGTTTATGAAACAAGTTGAAGTTGGCATCATGACAGAGTAACAGCAGCGTCAGCAGCTGTTAGAAACTTATTAGGTGTTTTAAAGTCCTTAATGGAGGTAAGTTTTACTCACGTTTTACTATAATAGTTTTTTGTAATGAAACGTCGACTTTATACGAATCACAAGTATCATTAATTTTGTAACAACAATTTAAATAATAACAACAGGTGATTAAAAAACAATTTTACCAAACCAGGCCAGAGACCGGTCACTATTACCTCTACCGCTTTTAATATTCACAGCACAGCTCATTACTAAATTTTTACTAGTCAATACGGAGCATATCTGTACAATAACAATAACGTGACACTAAAATTTTTAACTGGTATAACATGGAGCGTGGTGAAGCTGAAGCGTGAAGCTCAAACACATCGAGATGAAGGACCTCTTCCTGTGGACTCTCTCTGGCCCATGTATGCGACATAGGACATTAAGTTAAATCAAGTAAGTCTTAACACAGGTTAAAACAAATTATATTGTTGACCATACAATTTTGTGAAAATACTGTAATTGTGAATAACAAGTAATATTGTGACTTAATTTTTACGAACAATTAATAAAATATAATTATTATAACTGTTTTTTTCTTTAATGTTGACATGAATTTGAAGGATTTGTGGGACTTTGAGTCTGACAAGTCTGACATAATGATATTTTCTGTTATTCTTGACATTTCATATGGTTTGCGTTCTGACATGAAGTTGAATTTTATTTTATTTTTTTTAATGTTGACATGGATTTGAATGTGTGTCTTACAACAAATTAATTATTGGTGTAACCGTTGTAATTAAAATAAATAAACACTTATTTACCTGCGTTCTAGTCTGGTGATCATCGTCCCGCCGGCCAGTCCGCAAGTCTATGGTGTGGAAGCCATCATCAGCGCCTTCGAACGCCTTGTTCACGCACCCTCCCGCCACGTCAGACGGCATCGTGGTCTGAGGACAATGACACACTGACAAACACACGCATTTACGTCCCTTATACATAATTAAGTAATTCCTACGTTACAAATAGGTATAACCTAGATTTTAGTAAGGTTTTCTAATCGATTACTTGGAGTTTGTATGGTTATTGGGAGTCTCTGATTTCTTGTTTGTTGTTTTGTTTGAATGTTTGTTGGTTTCCACGGGCTATTGATACTTCATTTGTTGTTTATGAAGTTTTAAAGGCTTCTTATTGAGTTGGTACAGGGACGAGAAGTCATGCGCGGGAGTAAGCGTTAGCGGTGTGTTCACGCGCGACACTCGAGGAAGGAAATCGCAGCTTTTGAGGGCTGCTACGTGGTGGAACCTGCCACAATTTAGTGGTAGGTCGAGGCCTGCCGGGTGCGGTGAATCCGCAAGGGTGTCCCGGGTCACGGCCACAGACAAAGGAGGAACACCGCGGTGGTTTTAGCCGAAGTCCATGAGGATTTCTATCGCATTATTAAAAAAAAGGGAGGAGAAGTCAGAATCTACTTAGAAATCTTATAAGCAACGCAATCGTGATATGATTTCTAGATTTCTAATGATTTTTACATTTCTATGAAGTAAGAATAGTTTGTAGATGGTTATGTGTTATGTTTGAGAGCTGGATGTGGATTTTGATTGATAAATAAATTAAGATGAAATAAGAACCCCTATTTCCTATCAAGAATTGAGCTTGGGTACCACTACCATAATATTATCGGTACCTACTGATTATTGCTGTTTAACTTCGCCAAGAAAATATGTGGCCAGTGTAGATGGACTAAGAGGTAGATGCAAATGCCGACAAGAACATTTGGAAAATAATCCTTTAAATAACAATTTGACCTCAATATCACACGTCGTGACTACACATGAATGGGAGAAGTAACAATGACAGTATGACGGTCACCATAAAAAGAGTAGGTAATTTGAAAACTATACGCACACAATATAACAATGGTGTGTCATGGGAATCGACACATTCCACCAATCCCGTACGCTGTACATCACACATGATCAGGGCTGGTTTTACAGCAACCAATGGCATTAGAACTAAAAATATGCTTAGAATCTAAAAATTACAAGGAATTATTTACCTTGTCTTGGGTAAGTCTAAGACTAAAATATTATAAAGATTTATTTAGAATTGACTGTCTCGTTGGCCGAGTGGTCGCAAGTGCGATAAGGGGTCTCGGGTGCAATTCCTGCAATTCCCGGGTCGGGCATATTATTATTGACTGGGTTTTAAAAACATTGTCAGTGGTAGCACGGAGTCTGGAATTGTGCTCGGCAATACGCTTCGGCAATTTTGAATTTTGAATTTTGAATAGAATAATGAAAAGTGGGTGTTACATGGTACAGTGGCATTTAAGTGCCGTAATGTGCACTTCTGTCAACCCTTCCAGGGATTAAAGGCGTGATGTTATGTTATGTAGTTTAACAAGAATTGTACGAGCTACGCTGTACATTGACTTTGTCGTCATACGTGCGAATAATTAAATCACCGTGGTCAGCATTTCTGAACATTATAAACTTCTTAGTTAATTTAATTCAGTAGCAATAAAACTATCTAAGAGATTGGTCATCTACTCAGTTAACATAAACAACATTCAACATTTCAACATAAACTTGAACAACACTGTAGAAACTTACAACCCCTACAAGAATATTAGTATTATTTAAACTTCAAACCCTTTCCTAACAGAATGGAATCAAATTCCTGAAACCCAGGCTTGACAGGTGTCTCTATCCCATAGGCTAACTGTATCTCTCGACCGAACATAAAACTAAAGGCCATGGTAATCAAATTTAGTGACATTCAAAAAATGTAGAAATCGTCTCTTGATCTCGTTTTCTCATTATCCAAATATTAGCGCTAACAGACGACACACTTTCTAGTTACTATCCGCGGAATCGAATTACGGTAAACTGCTAATGATCTGTGATAGGTTTGCAAGTAGTCTCAATAATAATCTAAGCATTTATAATTTTGACATAAACTTTATATAAAAAAATTTCCTCTAGTTACCACAACCTACCGATATAAAACCTATCTAAATTCAAACTTCGTGCTATTTATTTGACAGCATTTTAAATAAAAAATTTCAGAAGAAAAAAATGTTTTGTCCATTTAGGTACCTAACGCAATTTTAACCATTTATATCCGGAAAAATATTAGATACTAGATAATTTTTGTACATGATTAAGTACATTTAGATTAAATGAATAGGTAGGAATAGGGAGTAGGTACCTAAGTAAAGTTACATTTACAGAACCAATAAATGTGGGAGAGCCATGCTTCGGCACGAATGGGCCGGCTCGACCGGAGTGATGCCAATCCCCCTCCCCAATTTCGCCAAACCCCGAAATCCCAACAATCCTCAAACTTTGGTCTTCCAGGTATCTATGGGCGGTGCCGATTGCTTACCATCAGGTGATCCGACCGCTCGTTTACCGGCTTATTCCATAAAAAATGAATGGATAACAACAACTACATTGAATGTTGTTTCCAGTTAACAAAATTATATGAATAAAACGTGACCAATAGCAACAGTTGTTGTTAATTGTTAATTACATTAACAATATTTACATTATAACATTAACCTACTACATCTACATTGTATCGGAATGACATGATTTTGATATGTAGCATGATTAATTGAAATTATTCCAATCTCATTGATAGCATTTTGATTGATTGGTCACTATCAATCAATTAGCAACGCAGCGCAGATGACACTAATTAAGCTATTGTTTTAGTGCGGAACAAATTATATGTCTAGGTCCACTGTTGTGAAGTAATATATGTATACTAGTTTAATTACTATGCATCATGATAGTTAAAAAAATAACAAACATTTTTGATAGTCTCGACAAATGCGCATTTAGTAAAAATAAGTAGATGGTCAATTAATTATTCATACTATGTAGAATGTAGTAGTAGATTAAATAAATGAACACAACTGCAATTCCACCCTTCCTTTCTACTATAAAATTACCCACTAAAAGCTCTCAACATAAACTGGCAACCCTAATCTACATCCGACTGGGTGCGCACGCGCCGAGCGTACCTTTCTACGCGTGACGTCACAACGCTCCGGTTCTGTGTCACTGCGCGCGCGCAACACACCTGTTACATTGTTGTCAGATATCTGAGCTCTGTTACCTGTATTATGTAAGCTGACCGAATATCTCATTTTGCTAATTCACAGCCAAAAAGGTAAAGTTTAAAATACTACCTGGTATCAGTTGTAGTGAAAAAAATGGACGCAGGTAATAAAGTATTGATTGGAGTTTCAAATCAGTCGGGTAAAACGGGATTGACAGTTGAACTTTGAGATAAATGCGCAGGTTAAAGATCTTTTTGCAAAACCTAGTTAGTGAGAAGTCTTTGAGGCCGAAAATTGGATTATGTTTCGCCAACTTACTCATAAAATAGGCTCGAACTTTTGATGCTATTTTAAAAAGATAGAATATAAACTATTGCTCTTTTAAATTCAATTCAACTAAATACATCCAGATTAGGTAGATAATGAAAATCTCTATCCTCTGTAGAAAACACGTAAAAATATATATTCTCCACTTTTTTATCCAATCACAAACAGACATTAGGTAGCTATATTATATCGAGATTTAATTGCAACAGAGCGATCATAATGACGCGGAAACCGATCCCAACTGGCAACTAGATCATCGTGTTTCATCAACCAGAACAGTTGTCATTATTGTTATTGGGCACCTGAATAATATGATACCTGCATGGATGCTCACTATCCTAAGAGCCTCGCTGTGTAGGAGCCTCGGTATCAGTGGCGTAACTATACCGTTCGGGGCCCGGGGCAAATTCATCGGATAGGCCCCTCCGCGCCGTTTTAAAAACCTCTGAACCCTTGGGCCCCTTCGAGCTGGGGGCCGTGGCATTTTGACGACTTGCTACCCTGTAGTTCCGCCACTGCTCCCTATCACCATATCGTGGAGCCTTTCTATCACACTCCGCAGGTTCGGGATTGACCTGAACTGTGGCGTGACATTGATTCCATTCCATGCACACTAAATTGTTTGACTTATTTTCACAGATTGACAAAATAGGTAGTTTATTGAGCAAGTAGAATAGGTGATACAAGTTTTCTAATCTTTCTTGATGAGACAATACATTATTTATCTCGCTTAGTAAAGGATATTAGTGCGTCATACATATTCATCAATTGGAATATCTCGATATTGCTTCGAACTAAAAACTAGTCAACAATTTTACGCAGGATTGTGTTAGGAATGTCAACGTTAGCATAATCTTTGAGAACCTACATAAAAAGTAAACTTGTAAAAGAAATAACCACATTTTGATCAGGACACATTTATTTTGTAAAATTATAAATTAGCTTAGTAAGATCGTAAATCCCAGTCCCAGTGTTTAACCCAAGACAAGAATGGAGATCAAAAGTAACGCCTCAATCATGTATTCAACAAAATTCTCTACAACCCACACTTAGACGTAACAAGTGAAAGAATTTACTATCAATATTCCAAGGTCGGCGAGTGAACAGTCAACGACCGTACAACACTAATCATCATCATTCCTTCATAATGATACTACCTTATAAATACCGCAAAGAGAGAATACCACTATATCAAAATGTAGAAAGAATAAAAATATTCATAGCTAGAGAGATTTTTACATAAATTAGCAATGTATTACATGCTTTAGATTACATAGTACTGTGTTAGGCAGGTGTACACTGGCTGGGATGTTTTACACGCCTCTGTGTGACCTATGCATATTCATGATGGCCGCCAGTCGTTAAAAAATAACTTTGTTTTATAATGTTGTTTTTATTTTGCTGACGCCTGACTGTGGTGTGAAGTACTAAAGTACAAAGAGAACAGCTTCATATTTACTCTGTGCGTTACGTACTTGAGTTTCTCTAGTCTAGTTAATTACGAAAATAAAATTTACTGAGAATTGGTATATCTAAATTCTAGTATGAATT